TTTGTAATTGTTGAGTTGTATGACTTATTTATATATTTTGGATATTAACCCCTTGTCGGAGGTATTTGCAAATATCTTCTCCCATTCTATTGGGTTTTTTTGTTATGTTTCTTTTGCTGTGCATAATAGTTTGATATAGTCCCACTCATTTATTTTTGCTTTTACTTCCCTGCCTTGGAGGTCAAGTTCATAAAGTCCTCTTTAAAATCAAGATCTGTAAGTTTAATACCTTATTTTTTTCTTCTATGTAATTAATTGTTTCAGATCTTATATTTAGGTCTTTGATTCATTTTGAGTTAATTTTTGTAAATGGTGACAAAGAGCAGTCTCTTTTCCTTCTTTTGCATGTGGATTTTCAATTCACCTAGCACCATTTATTAAAGAGGATTTCTTTTCTTAATCATATGTTTTTGGCTCCTTTGTTAAAATCTTTTGTCCGTGTACATGTATGTGGGTTTTTTCTGGGTTCTCAATTCTGTTCCATTGATCTGTGTGTCTTTTTCTGACAATACCATGCTGTTTTGGTTATGGTTGCTTTGTAGTATAATTTGAAGTCAGGGAGTATGATACCTCTGGCTTCATTCCTTTTTCTCAGTATTGTGCTGGCTATTTGGGGGTCTTTTGTGGTTCCATACAGATCTGATGACATTTTGTTCTATTTCTTTTAAAAATGCCATTTGGATTTTGATGGGGATTATATTAACTCTGTATATTGCTTTGAGTAATTTGGTCATTTTAACTTTGTTAATTCCTTCAGTCCATGCACATGGAATATCTTTGCATTTTTCTGTGTCTTCTTCAATCTCTTTTAATAATGTCTTACAGTTTTCAGTGTATAAATTCTTCACACCCCATATTAAGTTTATTCCCAGGTATTTTATTCTTTTGCAAAAGGAATTTTTTTTAATTTATTTATCTGAAATTTAATTGTTAGGATATAGGAATGCAGTGGATTTTTGTACATTGATTTTTGTATCCTGCAACATTACCATATTTGTTTATTGTTCCTAATAGGTTTTCGGTGGAGTCTTTAGGGTTTTCTATATAAAGAATCCTGTCATCTAAAGAAAGTGACAAGTTTACTTATTCATTCCCAATTTAGATGCCTTTTATTTCTTTCTCTTGCCTGATTGCTCTGGCTAGGACTTCCAGTACTATGTTGAGCAACAGTGGAGAGAGTGGACATCCTTGTCTTGTTCCTGATCTTAGAAGAAAAGCTTTCAGTTTCTCACCATTGAGTATAATATTAGCTGAGGGTTTGTCACATATGACCTTTATTATATGAGGTACTTTTCTTCTATACCCATTGTATTGAGTGTTTTATTCATAAATGAATGCTAGCAAATTGAATACAACAATACATTAAAATAATAATACATTATTGTCAAGTGGAGTTCATTCCAGAGGCACAAGAATAGTTCAAAATATGCAAATTGATCAATGTGATACATCAGATTAATAAAATGAAGAATAAAAAAATATGAATAAATCAATAGATACAGGAAAAGCATTTGACAAGATACAACATCCATTTATAATTAATTAAAACTCTTGCTTCTTTTACAAATTCATAAGATACCTGACTCATTCTTTCTACTAACAATTCATGAGAAAAATGGTATCTTAATGACAGTTGATGTCTAAGGTTTATGAAATTTCTTAAATAATTCATGTCAAAAGTTTAAGTATAAACCATTATTATTATTTTTTTAATCCTCACTCAGGGATACATTTGATTTCAGAGAGAGAGGAAGCAAGGGGGAGAGAGAGAAGCACCAATGTGAGAGAGAAGCATCAATTGGTTGCCTCCTATATGTGCCCTGACAGGGGACCAAACCCACAACCTAGGTATGTTCCCTGACCAGGAATCAAATCCATGACCTTTCAGTGCACATGACAATTGTCCAGCCAACTGAGTCACACCTGCCAGTGCAGTATAAATCATTTTTAACATTAAGACCAACTTCTGTTCAATAATAAGCTCCTGACCAATGTTTTTGAAATCACTATTATTGGCTAGTCAAACATTATATTAGGGTGTAGAATCTTCTTTGCCTTTTATATACTGGAAATCTAGCCTCTTAAACAATTTTACTTTCATATTTTCATCTGCCCTCTAGGAAATCCTCTATAGAACCCAAATTGAAAACATATATATAAATCTTTATGTCATGGCTGTGGTTCCAATGAAATCTACAACTATCAAAAATCTCTCTTCCATACCTAACCCATACCTTTACCAGGTGACACATTCAAGTTGTCAAATTCAACTTTTAAGTAACCCTGGCCATGTGGCTCAGTTGGTTGGAGCATCCTCCCATAACTGAAAAGTTGAGGGTTCAGTTCTGATCAGGGCACATACCTGGACTGCAGGTCCGGCCCTGATCTGGGTGTGTGTGATTCCTGGTCTAGGTGTATGCAGTCCCAGGTTTGGGCGCATACAGGAGGCAACTGCTCAGTGTTTCTCTTTTGCATTGATGTTTCTTTCTCTCCCTTCGTCTCTCCCTTACTCTCTCCAAAAAGCAATGGAAAAATGTCCCCGGGTAAGGATAAAAATAAATAAGTAGCAAAATTCAACCCTTAATGCCTAATTTAGATTTATGGATCTATAGAAGTAATATGGAAGAAATTATAAAGCTCTGCTATTTAAACCAAATTTAAATTAATTAAAAGTAAATAAAATTTATAATTCAGTTCTTCAGTTGCACCAGTCACATTTAACGTACTCAGTTGCTACATGTAGCTAATGACTACCGTGTTGGACAACAGAGATGTAGAACATTTATTGGACAGTATAGATGCAGGAAAGTCCAGAGAATTCAATTTGACAACATTGTCAAAGTACTAATACAAAAGACACTTTAGTTAATAGAGAATATATGTATATTTAAAAATGCCCATGTGATGATTTCTCAAGAGGAAAAGCAACCAGATTGTTTATAAATAGAACCTATAATTTTATTTATTGTGCAAAAAAAGTGCCTTTTAAATTTATAAATTCCACTTTCTTTACTAAAGTTTCTACCCTAAAAAGTTTACAAAGGCAGAACTTCTAAAGGCTACATGTGCAGCATTGTATGTACAGTGAGTTCCAGATTCCCAGAATTTCTTCTTGTACTCTCTTCCCTTTTACACATTTGATTGTTAGCTTCTCCATAACATGTCATCTTAAATGTTTAAGATATATATACAGGATGGAGCAAAAGTAGATTTACAGTTGTTAGTACATGAAACACAGACTTTATTCTTGTATTATTATTTATTAATTATTGCATTGTTTTCCATGCAAAGAACTGTAAACCTACTTTTGCCCTAGCCTCTATATATATTTTCAACTTCTAATTTAAACTAATTGGCTGATTTAGACGGTAGCTTCATGGTGAACAAAAGCTAATATATAGCCATTTTTTGTGTATCATCTTGAGGTAAGGGTTTTAAGTGCCACTTGTATACCTTCATATTTTTCAACTTTCTATAAAAAAGTGATTTTCTTTGTTCTTAAGGAAATGTGGTCATGCATCCCTTAGTAAGAATGACTAAATAATTTTTCTTCCTTCACTTGTTTTCAAAAGCAGGCCGTTCTGATAAATTCTGTTCTAGAATGCGTGCCTGAGTGGAGGCTGAGGCCGGGCAGGGTTAGGATGAGCCTGGAACATCTTGTGCCAAAAGTAGAGTACTCAAAAAATGCTGAGAGCATTTTATCAAGGGACACAGGAGCCAGGCTAAAGGGGGTTCCACTGGCCAAATCTGGGGGAAATTAAGTATAGTAATAAATTACAAATAATTTAAAAAATAGGAACCTCTGAGTTCATACTGATGGATGGATTAATGGATGGATGGACGAATGGATGGACACCTGGATGGATAAATGGATAAGAAAGGAAGGCTCTTTTTCTTTTTTAAATTTTTATTTGTTGATTTTAGAGAAAGAGAGGAAAGGAGAGAGAGAGAGACATCATCTTGTTGTTCCACTTATTTATACATTCATTGGTTGATCCCTGTATGCACTCTGACCAGAGATCAAACCCACAACCCTAGCAAAGTAGGGAGACGCTCCAACAAACTGAACTACCGGGCCAGGGCGGAAGGTTCTTTATAGCAGAATGCTGACCGATAAGTTTGGATGGATTGGTAAAGCTGAGAAATCGCCATTTCACAGCCATCACAATCAAGATTGGTATAGGCAAGAGTTATCAGTGGATGCTAAATATAAAGGGAAGTTTATCAAGGAACAGGATGTTTACATAGCCTTAATTGTCTTCACACATACTGCTTCTTACTTCCGAGGAAAATAACTGTACAGTGGAAAAACCAGTAAGAGGCTGATGGGCCTCTGCATGTGATCTTGAAAGACATTCAACACCACTGATTTCATATTTGTATGTAAGTGAAATGCATCAGCTGAATCTAGTCATGAGGAAACAGCAGACAAAACCTAAATGAAAAACACTCTGTTATTTTTAAAAATAACTCTGTGTTTTTAAAAATTTCAGTGTCACAAAAGATGGGGGCAAGGAGGGCAAGGCAAGACTAAAGAACTATTCCAGATTAAAGGAAAATAGAGATATGACAACTTAATGCAAATCTTTGATATAGAGCTGGATCCTGGACTAGAAGTGAAAAAAATAATAAAAAGAGCATAATTGAGACAAGTGCCAAGATTGGAATATGGATAGAGGTTAGGAAAAGTATTAATGTTAAATTTTCTAAATTTGGTAACTATACTATGGTTACGCTAGAGATTGCCTTTGTTCTTAGGAAATACACCAGTGAAGTATTAAGGAGTAAAGAGGCATGATGTCTATAACTTATTCTCAAATGGTTCAAGAAAGTAATTGTGTGCATGTGGAGAGAATACAATAACAAATGTGCTACATCATTAACAGTTGATGAATTTGTGTAAAGGATACAAAGGAGTCCTTTATTTGTCTTGCAAATTTTCTGTAAATTTTTAATTATTTCAAAATAAAAGTTTTTTAATTTTATTCAATGTTTTCTAGCCCTTTCTAAGGCACAAAATGACCTGCTGACAATGAAGATACAATCAGAGAATCTTTCAAAAGAATATGACCAACTCCTGAAAGAACACTCCAAACTTCAGGTGGGTGACATCCACATTATGGACCTAAAGTTTTTGAAATTATAATTACTCAAGTCAGCTATTTGGGTTATTTACTCTTCCAAAATCAAGAGGTTGTACTTCATCCTGGCTTTGTTAAGTGATTAAGGAAGCCAGAATTTACCTAGAGGGTAAAGATTAGGACATTGCATGGAAATACAAGATAGTCATAACATAGAGAACAACTTACATGCTAACTTATAACATTCTAGTTTTTGGTGAAGTTTTAAGCAAAAGAATTGAGCCACAAAAATGGCAGCGTTGAAAAATACACTGATTCTGGAAATTTTAGTTTTGCTCTTTGGAATATTTGTCATATTCATATAAAAGTGAGACCAAACACTGAAGTCCTCATCACACTGCTCCTTCTCTCTTGCTCTTTTAAACAGCTTAGGACAAAGCCTATTGGCTTTGATTTACCTGCAATACTGATGTGAAAGATAGAGATGGAAAAAAACTTTTTGTTGTTAAAGTCACAAGGTTGGGGCCGAGGATATTTCTTTATCTTCCCCTCCAGTCTATCAGAGTAAGTTCCTGACATTTATCCATGTTGGGTTTGTCTTTTCCTTTCCTCTTGGGCTTGCAGCTCCTAACCTGAATTGATTTCCCAGCCATATTCTGAGCCTGTGTGGGGAGAATTCAGGGGAGAGACCATTCCACAGGCAGACCTGGCCATCCTGCTTCCTCCCAAGATGGAGGGTCTGTGCTCTTTTGCTTTTAGATTGGGCTGACCCTTAGAATTTGGCAGCCTTGTGGCTTTCAGTTAAGGCTTTTTAGCAATTACAGTTCTACAGTTACTTTACTACACTAGAAGCCCTGGTTCCAGGACTCATTTCCCTGCATTGTAATTGTCCTTATATCTCCAAGGTCTAGCACTGTGCCTGGCACCAGACAAGGAGGCACCATACCCTTAGGCCTTGGAGTCAGGCAGACCTGAAATAACCACCAGCTTTGTGATCCCAAGCATGCTGTGTAACCCCTCTGGGACTCATTTTTCTTCTTTTGTAAAATCAGAACAGTAATAGCTCCTGGCTGACTAGGATGTTGGGACTATTAAATAGAATGTGCAGGCTGCTGAGCATTGTGCTAAGTAAATGCTCAAGAAATAACTATTATCATAATTATAATTATCATCAGTATTAATTCCTCTGTAGAAGTTTTGCTGAAAGAATGACATTCTCAACTAGCCACTTTGGCCTTCTTTTAGAGCCAGCCAAGAAGCAATCCCAAGCATATTTGTAATCTGGTAGTCCAAGTTGAGTTGTGTGCTTGATTTAACTAACGTACTTTGACGATAGGGCAATGCAGAGCAAGGTGGATATCCTGTTGTTTAAAACCCAGGACACCAAGAGCTTAGTTCACATTGCCTGGCATGGGCAGTTAGAGTTTCAGCAATACCATCACCCTTTCCCCATCTCTAAAACAGTAGTCTTGATAGTGCTGACTACACTGTGGCATCCTTCAAGACCCACAATGAAAAGTAAAGGAACAGCCCTGGCTGGCGTAGCTCAGTGGGTTGAACACTGGACTGCGCAGCTGATCAATGTTTCTCTCCCTCTTTCTTCCTCCCTTCCCCTCTCTCTAAAAATAAATAAAAAAATATTTTTAAAAAAGAAAGTGAAGGAACACTTCAGAAGCCTCTTGCCTAGAAATAGGACTTTTTTCTCCTCCCATTTGTGAGGTCAGGATGACCTCACACCAGCATGGGTGAGGACCCACACCAGAGGAATTTGCCAGAGTGTCAAAAATGTTTAAGAGAAGCAGAAATAATCCCTCATTCTCTTATGGCCAGAGGCCATTGCTGAATGTTCCCTTTGTGGTTACAGTTAATGATTCCCTTAATCTCTGATGAATGTATGTGGCAATGAGATTTTCTCAACCCATTTTCTTTCCCCCAAAAAAGGCTTCAGCTTGGAGCTTATGCATTCCTGATAAAAGATGTTAAAGAGCTTTAATGAGTAATTTATCCCAAGAAAGTAGCTGCTCTGCTATACCTGTTTCTTTGAAAAATGACCCCATCCCAGCTACCCTAAGTGCTATGCCGAAAGTTGGTTCTTGGTCATTAGTGCCTTTTGGTCTTGATCTAGTTTCTGCTTATATCCAGGTTTTTTGAAATATTTAATGGATGACATTTAGTGAGGGTGTGGTCTGGACCAAGCACTTACCTAATGGCTTCTCCTGTTTACTCTCCATCACAGCCCATTACGTTAAGGTATTTTAATACCCTGTTTTATAGATGAGAAAAATGAGAACCAGAGATGTTATATAATGTACCCAAAGTCATTGAACTAGAAAGTGTTAGCATTCAAAGTCAGGAAATTTTTCTCTAGAACCTCCATCATTAACCACTGTGGCCTTTGGCCTTTGCTGGTCACTGGACTGTGCTGTGAGATTCGTTCTCTTCCCACTGCTCCTCTGCTCCGTATCCCAGGGAAATAGATGTATTTTCCAGGCTCTATCTCTTTCCTTGGTTGCAGTTCCCACTGGTCAGCTTCCACCTGGTGGCCCTGACTCCTGGGACCGTAACGCTACCCTGTCCCTCATCCCGTCAGCCTGAAGAGTGGTGGTGGTTTTCTGCTGTTGTTAATCCCTTAGGAGCCTTACTACCCATTGCTCTCCCCTCACCTATAAAACCAATCCTTGTAATAAATAACTGAAGAAAAAAACCTCTCAGCTCCATAGTTTACCACTTCTATAAACTTCAGGTAAATCATTTGACATCCATTTTCCTTGGCCTCTTCATTACTTAAATGAGCATTATAATACTTTATGAGCGTTAAACCAGATCCTGTGTAAGAAAGCACTTTAAGTATTTTTAAACTAGAAAAGCTCTATATAGCCATAAAATACTAATAATCATGTCTTGATTGGACACATTTTTTTCCCATTCATCTGCTTTCCTTCCCACACACATTGTCCGTTATGAGAACATGTATAAAATTCTGAGATTTAGGTGTCATTAACTGAGAATCATTGTCTTTAAAGGGACTGTTACGATTTGATATCCACCTTGTGAATCTGGCTTGAGAATCAAAAGATTTCTGTAAACCATCTACAGTAAAAAGCTATATCACATTGGCAATTATAAATTTTATTTCTCTTGTCAAACTAACCTTAACAATTGAGTTATATCCTAAAGTTCCTTGGAAAACAGCTTTCTCAATTTTACATAGTTGATTTACTTTAAATAAAATCAGGGACTATAAAATATTAAGGAAACAAAGGTGGTAGAGGGGAAAGCTGATGTCTTTACTGTAAACAAATACCACTTTGTAGCTTTTAAACCCATTTGGATTTCCCCATCTGGTCCCCTATCTGTGATAGGCACTAAATAAATATTAGAAAACAGTTCCTTCAAAAAATGCAGTCTTTGCCTTCCCTTGTTTGCCCTGGCTCGCTTCTAGAAAAGAAAAAAAAAACAGAACTAAGGGTTTTTGGCAGCACAAACGCATAAGCACCTGCCAGTTTTTAAATTTCATTTTGGAAAATCACCCTTCACTAAAGGGATTTGTCCAGATTAACAGCTCCATTAAAGCTATGATTTTTATCTAAAGTGGTAGGATATATAAAAACATGTGAAGTGATACATTATCATTTAAAATGCCTCCTCTAACCCTGTCTTCTGATTTGGTTGCTTAAAGTTAATGTTATTAAAGTTGTTCTGAAAGCATCAATGCTCAGTCTGAACAAGATCTTGATAACCTTCCCATGTACATGCAATAATACTACAACTCTATTTTATGAGATTTTTTTTCCCCCAGTGGTAGACTTTTGCCTTCTTAGTGGAAATGATCTTTTAAGATTAATTTCTATCCCATTTTCCTACAGCTTTAAATGATGTATTATAGCTGACTCGTAACACAATCAGTAAAGAGTATAATTTGAGAAGGTAGTTCTATTGTCAAATATCTGAAGAACAACAGTAAAAAGGCTAGCCCATCTGGGTTTTTGCTTCCTTCATATTTTCTCTGCCAAAAAATTTTAATTGGATTTGCAAGAGAAGAATTTTAGAAATTTTGGTTTCCTGCTGTAAATGTGAATCTAAAGCAAAATAGATTAAGACAGTGGGGAAGAAGGGGGAGATAACTTATCAAGAGTGTTATTTCCCCCTGTACACATTTTTTCAAATAACCTATCAGTTTTGTGGTTTTTAAAGTTTGAGACCTTCACAGTACATATTTCACTTTTGATTACTCTTACAATTAATAACTATACACAGAAAAGAAAAGAAAATTTAAAGTCCTTGACATATCTATGAATGTTTCTCACTCTTTGCTGTAACTACTTAAGTCCATTTTTTTTTCTTGCAGGATCGTCTATGGAAAGACAATAAGAAAGGCCAGTGAACTGTATGAAAGGTTTTGACACATCATGTCAAGATAATACTTTGTTATCATGTTAGCCTCTAGAAAATTTAAAATTCAGTCCAGAAAAATATACTGTGACCGGCCAATATTTTTTAAATGTCATACATAATGGCATTATCATAATACTTGATGTTTTATATATATTGTACAGTATGTATCCTGGCTCTTATGTAAAATATAAGCCTGTTGAACACATTATTTAGATATTCATAGTAACACTGGTGGATGATGGCTATTTACCAATAGAAGGGAAAATTCATTAGCCAGTTACTTCCAAAATTAGATTTTTAAGTTATGTGAAACCATTAATAGCACTTAATTAAAAGCTTTGATGAGGTTCCACTAAAAATAATCTAGTTAATCAGATGATGATAATGATTATGTGTTTGAAGATATCATCGACTACCAGCAAATTTGTTCATAGGGATATTAAGTAAGGGTAAATGATCAAAATTTGCCACTATATTAATAGGGGAGTCAGAAAGAGCAAAAAATAAAAACCTTAGGTTTTTTTAAGCCTGATGATACTGTGGTTTACTCCCATAAGACAACTACATTTATATTTTTTGTTACTGTGCTTCTGCACCTGTTGGACTGTTTTTGTTGACATTCATGTTGATAACATAATTAGTTTTTAAAATCATCTAGGAATGGAGTTTACATCTATTTGCATAACTGTTAGAGCACTGAAATGAAATTATTTTACAACAATGAGGAATTCTTGACTCAGAAAGTTAATGTACAACAGATCCAAAAAAACAAAAAAGTATTTCCCATTGCTGTGAGAGTTACTAATTATACAGATATTACCTCACATATACATACACTGGTGTCACATTTTTTCTGAGATGTTTCTGTACTCTGAAAGCTAAATAATAAATACTGTTTTTTTCATTCAAATATTCGTTTAGAGTTTCCTTTAGAAGATGATAATGATTACAACATTAATATGATTTAGGTTCTGGTATTTAGACATGGAAATTATCTTCCTTGTCTCATAAAAACAACCTAAATATAAAAGAAAATGGAACCCTGGCTGGGTCACACAGTGTCCCAATACACCAAGGTGGTGTGAGTTCAATCCCCAGTCAGGGCACATAAAAGAATCAACCAATGTTCCCAACACCATTTACTGAAGAGACTCTCTTTACTCCATTGCATACACTTGCCTCCTTTGTCAAATATTGACCATAAAGGTGTGGTTTTATTTTTTGGCTCTCTGTTCTGTTCCATTGATCTTTATTCCAGTACCAAGCTGTTTTCATTACAATAGCCTTGCAGTATAGTTTGATAACAGGTATTTTGATATCTCCAAATTTGTTCTTTCTAAAGATTGCTGAGGCTCTTTGTGGTCTTTTTTGGTTCCATCTACATTTTTGGAATATTTATTCTAGATCTATGAAATACATCATTGATATTTTAATAGGAATTATGTTGAATCTATAGATTGTTTTGGGAGGCATGGACATTTTAATGATTCTAATTCTTCCAATTCATGAACACAGGATATGCTTCCACTTACTTGTATCTTCATCAATTTCTTTCTTCAGTGTCCTGTAGTTTTCTGAGTACAGGTCTTTTACCTCTGGTTATATGTATTCCTCGGTACTTTATTATTTTTTTTGTTGCAATAGTAAATGGGGTTGTTTTATTAGTTTCATTTTCTAATAGTTCATTATTGGTATATAAAAAGTGCAACTGATTTCTGAATATTAATTTTGTATCCTGCTACTTTGCCAAATTCATGTATTAGATCGTGTGTGTGTGTGTGTGTGTGTGTGGAGTCCTTAGGGTTTTCTATGTACAGCATCATGTCATCTGCAAATATTGACATATTTACTTCTTTCTATCTAATTTGGATGCATTTTAATTCTTTTTCTGTCTGATCACTGTGGCTAGGACTTCCAGGACTATGTTGAATAACAGTGGTGAAAGCAGACATCCTGTCTTAAGGAAAATCCTGATATTAAGGGAAATGTGTTTAGTTCTTGCCTGTTGAGTATAATGTTGGCTCTAGGTTTATATATATGTGCATTATTGTGTTGAAGTATGATCCATCTATTCCCACTTCGCTGAGAGTTTTTATCATAAATCAGTGCTGAATTTTATCAAATGCTTTTTCTGCACCAGTTGATAAAATCATGTGATTTTTATCTTCATTTTGTGTATGTGATGTATCACATTTATTGACTTCCAAATATTGTACCAACCTTGCATTCCCAGAATAAATCCCACTTGATCATAGTTTATTTTTAGTGTATTCCTTGATTCAGTTTGCTAACATTTTGTAGTGGGCCACCAACTTAACCATACACAAGAATAAGCTCAAAACAGATAAAAGACATAAATGTAAGACACCAAATCATAAAAATCCTAGAACAAAACATAGGCAGTAAAGTCTCAGACATTTCTCATAGCAATATTTTTGCTGGCATGTCTCCTTCAGTGAGGAAAATAAGTGAAAAAATAAACAAATGGGACTACATCAAACTAAAAAGCATTTGCACAACAAAATAAATGATCAACAAAATGAAAAGAGAACCCACTATGGGAAAACATATTTGCCAGTGATACATCTGATAAAAGGTTGATTTCTAAAATATGTAAAAAACTTATACAGCTCAACACCAGGAAGACAAACAATCCAATTAAAAATTGGGGAAATGACCTGAATAGGCACTTTTCCTAACGGGACATACAGATAGCCAATAGACTTATGAAAAAATGCTCAACATCACTAAGATCAGAGAAATGCAAGTTTAAACCACAATGAAATACCACCTCACACCTGTCAGAATGGCTACCATCTATAAATCAGAACATACACAAGGCCAATCACCCAGGAGGGAATGTACGGATGCTTCAGCCACTGTGAAAAAACAGCATGGAAGTTTCCAGAAAAGTTTCAAATAGAACTGGACTTTTGACAAAACAGACCTCAAAACTCAAAAAAAAAACAAAACAAACAAACCCAAAACACTAATTTACTAGAAGAGCTCAAAAGACTTAAGAGGACAGTAATGGACTCAGAACTTCAACAGCGTACGAAACAAGACAGCAAATACTAAAAAATTAAACCAGCCAGAAATGAAGGACTACACTAACCGAAAGGAGAATAATATACAGAAAAACAACAGTAGAATAAAGCTGAGAATCATATCAGCAATTTGGAATATAAGGAAGCAAAAAACGCCCAATCAGAACAACAAGAAAAAAGAATCCTAAAAAATGAGAATCATGTAAGGAGCCTCCAGGACAACTTCAAGCATACCAACATTCACATAATAGGGGTGCCCGAAGGAAAAAAGAGAAAGCAAGAAATTGAAAATCTACTTGAAAAAATAATGACAGAAAACTTCCCTAACCTGGTGAAAGAAATAGACATACAAGTCCAGGAAGCAGAGGGTCCCAAACAAGATGAACCCAAAGAGGCACACATCAAGATACATCAAAATTAAAATGCCAAAGGTTAAAGACAAAGAGAGAAAGCACCGAGACAAAAGCAGTTACTTACCTACTGGGGAGCATCTATAAGGCTGTCAGGTGCTTTCTCAACAGAAACTTTGCAGGCCAGAGGGGATTTGGCAAGAAATATCCAAAGTGATGGAAAGCAAGGACCTACAACCAAGATTATTCTACCCGGCAAAGCTATCATTTAGAATCAAAGGACAGATAAAGAGTTCCCCAGAAAACAAAAAGCTAAAGGAGTTCACCACCACAAAACCAGAATTGTATGAAATGTTTAATGGTTTTCTTTAGGAAGAAGGAAAATAAAGATCAAAAATGTGATCGACAAAATGGCAATAAATACACATCTATCAACAAATGAATTTAAAAAACAAAATGAACAAGCAGAACAGAAACAGACTCACAGATACAGAGAACATTTTGACGGTTGCCAGATGGGAGGGGTTTGGGGGAGAGGGGTGAAAAAGGTGAAGGGATTAAGAAGTACAAATTGGTAATAACAGAATAGTCATGGGATGTAAAGTACAGCATAGGAGATATAGTCATAACATTCCAGTAACTATGTATAGTGTCGGATGGGTGCAAGAGTTATCAGGATGATCACATAGAAAGTCATGTAATGTCTGATCACTGGGGTATATACCTGAAACTAACATAAAATTATGTCAATCGTAATTGAAAAAGTTTAAGAAAAAAGAACATATGCACTCCTACATTCATTGCAGCATTGTTTATAATAGCCAATATCTGGAAACAGTCTAAGTACCAATCAGTAGATGGTTGGATAAAAAAGCTGTTGTACATTTACACAATGAAATACTATGCAGCCATAAAAAAGAAGGAAATCTTACCTTTTGCAACAGCATCAATGAACCAGAGACTATTATGCTAAGTGAAATAAGCTGGTCAAAGAAAGACACATACTGTATGATCCCTGTAAGCGGAATCTAATGAACAAAATAAACTGAAGAACAAAACAGAAACAGAGGCATGGATACATGGAACAGGATGACACCTCTTAGGGAGGGAGGACAGTGGACTAGAAAAAAGAATGTGAAGGGATTAGCCAAAGAACATATATGTATGACACATAGACATGGACAACAGTGTGGTGATATCCAGAGAGAACAAGGGATGGACTGATGGGCAAAGGTGGGGGGAACGGGGACTTCTATATAATAGTGGAAACAATAAAAATAAAGTTGAAAAAAAGTATCAGGCCTAGCCTGATGGCCATGTTGTATTAGGTGGATTAGTTGGTTAGAGTGTTGTCCCACACACCAAAAGGTTGTGGGCTTGCTTCTTGGTCAGGGCACATATCTAGGCTGCGGTTTCAACCCCCAGTCAGTGTACATCAGCAGGAACCCTGACACACCCCAGTCATGGCGCATACCTAGGTTGCAGGTTCGCTGAACCCGATCAGAGTGCATCAGGAAGCAACCAGTTGATGGTTCTCTCTCACGTCAATGTCTGTCTGTCTGTCTCTTTCTTTCTCCCTTTTTCTCACTGCCCTTCCTCTCTCCCCGAAATCAATAAACATATCCTCTAGTGAAGATTAAAAAACAAGAATCAACCAATGAAAGCATAGGTAAGTGGAATAAAAAAAATAGATGGTTCTCTCTTCCTTTCTTGCTCTTAGCCAATTTTTTTTAAATGGAAAATATTTACTAGAATTTTTACTCTCCTGATATTTGTTTCATCCTTTGTTATTTATTATCCTTTTAGCATCAAGTTCACACATATTTAATTTTTTCATTGTAAAGTGAATGAACTGAGCAAGTACATATAAAATAAGACTTTTATTTCAGATAAAAGTCAAGAGTTACTGCTAGAAAACAAGAGATGAAGAAGACATTTAACAGGGGTAAGAAATGGGAGTTAGACCACATGGGCTGACAGTACCATAGACACCTAGAAAAGGGAGGGAGTGCTGAAATAGTACAGAACAAATGACTGCTCAAAGTATCAATTCAGGATATCAAAGTTAAAGCTCTGTGGGTAAATATATAGGTAGTGTTTGTGATTCTGGCCTGCTACAGAAATCAGTCTGATGACAACACAGAAAAATAGAAAACACACAGATTTAGAATTGGCAGAACTAAAATCTAATCCCAGCCTCACAAAAATTTACCCACGTGATTTTGTACAAATTATTTAAACCTGCTAGACTTCCATTTCTTCATCTCCAAAAGTGGGGGTAATAACATTTAATCAGGATTACTATATAAACTAAGACAATATTGTGATTCTCAAAGTTGTTCAGACTGTTGTAGAGCAAGGAGAAAGCCTGTGTGCTCTTTGAAGAGCACAAGGGTTTCAAATATTTCATGAGATCACTTTAAAGTGTATATTTAAGTAATCTTAGACCTCAAACCTCAATTTTACAGATGAGCAACTTGAGACCTCAAAAGTCTGAGCAATTTTCCCAAGGTAACATGAATAGTTAGATTTGGGAATTCAGATGTCCTGGTTCCCCAGATATTACTCTAGTCTTCATAAACACAAGTTAGCTATAATTTGCTAAACCAAATATTGCCATGATTTATCCAGGGTTTGGAACAGGGGCTTAGGCTTCAGAATCTGTGTACTATGCCACAATACCAAAATGGCCCTCAAACTATGCCTGTTAGTTATTATTCTCCTTGCCAATGATGGTGTTCAGCAAAAAAAAAAAAAAAAAAAAAAAGAAAGAAAGAAAGAAAGAAAGAAAAAGAAAAAGAAAAAAAAAAGAAAAAAGTGTATTCCAGGAAAATGGATTTAGTTACAATTTGTATTATGTTCCTTTCTATTTTCAGTAATTACTTCCTCATGTCTTAGAAGATAGGCTGTACTATGGTTTCAAACACAGAAGTGCCATTCTTGTCCTTTTCTGTCATAGTTACACAGAGTTTCATCAGACTCTCTCTCCCTACTTACAAATCTACCTTGAGCTTCTAGACTCCAGGAAGTAGCACTTAAGAAGTTCCAGCCAAGTACTCTAGAATCTGGTAGGAGCCACCCTTGTTGCTTATCTGGCTATCTCTTGGGCTCCAGTGCTGGTAACTAGAGTACCCTGAACCCCAATCTAGAGCCTGGAGCTTATCTGTTTCCTATGATACTGTCCAGAAGACACCAGCCTGCAAGGATCTCTAAGCAAACATCCATGCTTGTTGTTCTGGTGCTGGTTTCTGCTTGCCTGCAGTGACATCCCTGCCTGCTCCTTGGGCCTCCCAACCACAGCCATTTGGATGCACCTGCTCCTGCTGTTTTGCTCTATCTCTGTAGTTTAGCCTGGTCCTGCATTTTTATTCCATTGTCCACTGCCTTCTCACTATTCCTCCCATCCATGTTCCACCAAAGCTGAACAGCCCATACTCAGCCCTACTGACGTAATATACCTTCTGTTTGAGTGCTCACTATACAGTCTAAAGCCCATTAAGCCCTTCTGAATTCTTTTGTTCTTCAGGGTACCTTTCTGAGAATTTTTGAAAACCCAATTACAAAGTTTCAGTTTTCTCATTTTAACGTATCTTTCTCTAATCAGTTTACTAGATGGCATTATTATCTTCACAGTGTTGCTTTCCACCTTGATCTCTAAAGAAACAAAGACTTTATTATTCCTTCCTTCTATAGCCAAAAGTGATATAAACACAACAGAACTGAGTAACACCCCACCCCCCCGCCAAAAAAAGATATCCATGTCCTAATACTGGGAATACATCTCTTCTGTGTCAAAAGAGTGACATTCGACTGATCGATATTCTCACATTTATGTCTCTCTCA